CGCTTTTCTTTGCTAAGCGAGAGCCTGTTGTACTGACCGTAAGTTCCCTCTTGCAATTTCAAATGTGCAGGTATGTCTGTTATTTCCTGAGTATAAGGGATAATTTGATATAAACCCCCTTTTGAGTATGTGCAATGTATGCCATACTAGCCTTGAGAGATATTTTGTCAAGGGCTTTAAGTACAAGCTAAACCTCATAAAGGTGCAGGGTTAGTATTTAATAATTATTAGGATTTGGGATATTTAAATTTTCTTGTAGATGGCTTTTTGAGCAGGACAGTAGACCTGCATAAATTTGACGTCCTGAACAAGAGAGGGCGCTATCTGTGAAGTGCGTGCAGTACAGTAAATAGCTAGCGGTGTGTCAACGAACATGGAGTGACACCATAATTTGCACGACGCATGTGAGCTTGAGTCATTCCAAGCTAGACTGGGTCCAACTCGGGTAGAGCAGCGGCACTGGTTCGTCCTGACTAGGTGGAACGGGAGCTGCACTAGGACCAGGAAACGCAGGCGCCAGTGGTCCACAGTACCGGTACTACCTGCCTACGTACGGGACTGACCTGACCCCGGCGGTCATCTCATACAGACACATGCCGGAGCTGTAAATGGACCCAAATCGATAACTGTCGTTACATCATTATGATAACATTCTGAGACAGAGTATGATCATTGATCGCCATTGTGGAATATTATTATCCTAGTTGCAAGATTTGAGTATTGTTCATGATTTTGTGAGCTTGTCCAATATTATTTTGGAGTAGAACAACCCTTTCTACATGTTCTATTTTGTATTTTTTTTGTAGCCTGTGCTAGCTTTATCTGCCACTTTTGTTATCACACAGGAATACAGATCACAACATGTGAAGGTATGTAAATGCATGTGCATGTATACAGTTAATTTCTAGTTTTGAGTTATTTGGCTATACCCGCATGGTTTTCTTTTCCCTGTTTTCTGGTTCATTGTGATTAATTATAATTTGCTTTTTATGACTTCATTGCTGTTACTTGGTTTGGAGATTTCTTTCGCATGTTTTGCTGATTTTGCAGTTGAGCTTCTGTGAAGTAATTGAGTTGAAACTTTGAATTTGAGATATTAATTTGTGCATGTCCTCAGTAACTATTTAAATATTTTGTTTATTTTGTTATTTATTTTATTGGTAATTCAACTTCATTCATTTAATTTGGTTGATTGTTTATTTGTTCATTGATTGGTTTTGGTTTAGTTCTTTTGTTATTCAATAGTTATTATAAAACATTTGAATTGATTTGTCTTTGTTGATCATGTCTTTCATCCTGGGGTGGACTAGTGACGCATAGCCAAAACGTTCGTTTCCCTTTCCTTTTGGGGGGAATTTCTGTCTTACCATGACAACATGTACATATCATATCACTGCTACCAAAATTTAAAATTAATTTGTCAATAGGATCAATCAATAGGATTTATATTTGTATACCTTTTCGTTGCTAAATTAAACTGTAGCAATACAATGCACACATCCTGTGTTTCCACTATAACCACTCATGTGTGGCCAATATATTAGCTATACATGTACATGTATTTGCCAACTGTTGCCAGCAAACGTCATTCCCAGTTTTGGTTACGCAGTAACGCAGCTTCCACTGTTATTAAAAAATGATGACCCTCACTCCTTCTACTTGCATGCAAAGAATACTCACATATTGTATTGCTTTAAAAATTCAACATTCACTCTGCTGTGGAGGAACTCATGCATGTTAAAAGTCATACCAACTTTCCATGCACCATTTAACAATGGTCAACGTTTCTAACAATCTATAAAAAATAACCTTTCCAGCAGGCATGCCTAAATGTACACAAATATTGGTACTGTACAGATGGTGCTCAAATATGTATGCACATGTACATGTATCTCGTTGAATTATACACCAATGATGAGCATCACTGACTTGACAGTGTGGGAAGACTGCTTAATAGTCACACATTGCTCCATAATTACACATACATTCTTGAAGATCCAAACAACTGGGTTGTGTAACTGCCAGTTGTGTCGGTAGTAACGGTGCTAAACAGCTATCATGAGTCATGTTCATTGTCTATTGTTGAACAGAAGGACTGGTGATGTCTCATGCTGATCCACTCTTTTTTTTTTCTTTTTTTTTATTTATTTATTCTCATCATGTAAAAACATGAAACTTGTCTCCTCGTTCTGCACACAAATATGATGTATAAAACACTTAAAAACTTCACATTAAAAACCAAAACAAAAACATATTACATAAATGTACAAATAGGCGTAACAATATAAGAACACTGACAAGAGTACACGTAAACAGAAATAGAACAACAAATTGAGCCTAATTAAATAAATAAATAAAATATCTGGATTGATAGAGCTATTATGTATAAAGACGAAAAATGGGAAGGACACAATGGCAAGCCGGGGGGGGGGATCAGAAAGCCAAGGGGATATGAGCGGGGGAAAAGGAAACAGGGAAAGGGCTGAAACTTACATGTACGAGGGGTATAAACACACACATTTACATCACGATTTAAAAAGCATAATATCTACTATAAGTCTGATTAAAAACACGAGATTGCCCTGGGTAAAAATAAGGGGAAAAATGTGTCGTGTTAACGAGATTTCAATTTACTAATTTAACCCGACACAAATGGGTAGATGTGTGAGGAGGGGTGGATAAGAATATTATGAGATAAGACAGAATAAGCGCTAATCTGATTGCACTAAAAACACACTACAGCACGATTATAAAAACAGCATTATCTAGTATAATTCTTGTTAAAATGTGAAACTGCACTGGGTAAAAATGAAAGGTTGTGTCGTGTTGTACGAGAGTTCAATTGACGGATTCGACCTGACCTGTTTTGTACTATGAACGAATGGAGTGGGTGAGTATCGTCTTGCATAATGGTTCTCAGTTTGGATTCAAGAGCATTGTGGTACATTGATTGAATGTCCAGAACATCAACACCAATGACCCTGCTGGCAATTTTAGTGATCCTTTTCAACTTGTTCGAATTCACAACAGTCAAACCATTAAACCAGGCGATAAAACAAAAAGACATGACGGACTGTATGACACTCTGATAAAAAAGCAACATAATATCACGATTAACATGAAATAATAATAACTCTTTGAGTTATAGTTAGTGATAGTCGTCATCTAGCTTGTTCGACAGGACAGGTGATATATGCCACACTCAGCTGTGAGTGCAGCAATAGTGCTTCAGAGTTACAGCAAGTGGTAGTTATAGCCAAGGGAAGAGTTATTGGAAGTTATTGGTAGGGAACTTCTCATGTGGCCGAAGGCTACCTAAAGTTAATATTGATGTGAAGCGAGTGGACACGGAGAGATGACTAGATTTGATTAAACGATGATAGTTTATTCGTATGTAGATGCAAAATATACATTTCTGGCTCTCTCGAATATATTGTAACGGACAGTTGTATAGCCTTTTATTGCCATGTTAATCTGTTGTAAGCCGCCGGCGGTGCTGAGGGCCGCCGGCGGAGGGCCTCCGACGGAGTGCCCTGACCTGTTTCTTTTGTGCTGGGCGCGCACCGGAAATTGGGTTCTATTTCGGGACGCTTGTGGTCTGGCGCGCGCGGGAGGGGATTTGGCAAAGCGCCTGGGCGGCCTGTGGATTGTTAAACATTGTTATACATTGCTATCTGTAGTGTGTTTGGAAGAGCACTAGTGTAACGTGGTAGTTGTTGTTCTGACAGTTGCGCGGAAGGTTATCTTGTTGGAAGTCCTGTGTCCGCTCCCCTTTTCCGTTGTTACCGGTCTTGAGGGACAAGAACCCCTGGTCCACGCTACAATATATACAAAAAAAACTACCGACGGTCAAATGGGCATACAGTTGTAAGTCTGTGGAATTAAAGAAAACAAAACGGACATTTCATTAGTTTGTTATCATTTAACTTTACCTTGCTTAACAAAACCCAATCATTTATGAGTAAGAATATTCTGACATTTAAACTAATATTTTGACGGAACATCATGGTGCACATATACTGCCCATGTAGTCCATGGGCCAGACCAGATATTGGTACCACCCGACTTGGCAAAACATTAGGGTGCAATGCATGTACTTTATAGTACAAAAACATGTGATAGCTGTTGTGTTTATGGGTCCTTTCAAACCAGTAAATAATGGAACGAACTCACCGAGTCTTCACAGGAACTCGTGGCATGGGCGCCGCCATTTTAATACACACTGTAACTCATGGAACGTGTAGTTGGTGTCCCTCACAGAACGTATCATAATGCATGGACATACGACATCTCCCCCCTTTAAGCTGTCAACAAACAAAACTGGTTAAACACATTAACAATGAACAATAGTTAACAGTAAATAAATGGCAATGCTTTCTGGCATTAAAACATACGTTGTGAATGCTGCTGTGAAAGTGTGTTCAGTTAAGGTTGTTTAGGTCTGAAATTATGTGAGATTATTCAAGTGCCAAAATCCTGAAATTGTCCAGATTTGTGATCAATCTAGAGTTCAGTTCTGTGGAGTGTAGAGTTCAATGTTCCAGTTTAGTGCCAGGTTTAGTACACCACATAATCCTGGTGCCAGCGTGGAGGTTTTCCTGTGCGTCGTGGTCTGACTGTTGTTGTTGGCTTGAGATTCTGTGGGTGAATTGGGTCAGGTGGGGTCTGGACTTCAAGAACTGGTTCTGGTTCTGGGATAAGCAGCAAGTGGCGACGGTTACGACGATACTCGACGCCCTGAACGTTGACAATGTAGGAGCGTGGGGGACCTGCTTTTCGAACCACCTCACCCAACGGACTCAGATGTGTTTTGTTGCGGATCCGCACCGTGTCACCTGGTTTCAGCTCACACAGCTGACGAACGCCATGCTTCTCGTTGAAGTAAGACTCGCTCTTGGCCTTACGTTGCTTGTCAGCTGCCTTCAACTGGTGCGTATTGATCACCCTGGGACGGAGATTGCGAGGGAGTGTTGGCAATGTGGTGCGTAGTTCGCGACCCATCAGCAGGCGTGCAGGACATCACTCTTCAGTAGGTCATTAATTGGTGCAGCGACTGAAGAGACATGGGGAATGAATCGCGCAAGCCAGTTGATCATCCCCATTAGTCGTTTGACTTCGGTTTTGGTGGTTGGCGGTGGCATTTGGATGATCGCAGGGTCGGCATGGATGCCGTCTTTATCGAGCTTCATGCCGAGGAAGTCGACCTTTGTTTGGGCGATTTTGCATTTGTCCTTGTTCAGCTGTAGTCCAGCGTTCTGCACAATTTCGAGAATGCGCTGGAGTCTTTCATCGTGTTCTTCTTTTGTGCGACCGGTGATCAGTACGTCGTCCATGTACACCACGAGCCCGGGTATGTCGGTTAGAAGGTCGCACATGATGCGTTGATATATTTCTGGTGCCGATGTGATGCCAAATGGAAGGCGTTTAAAGCAGTAACGCCCGAATGGTGTAATGAAGGTAGTGAACTTCTGGCTTTCCTCTGTCAGTGGTACTTGCCAGAAGCCATGCTTGGCATCTAGCAGGGAGAATATCTGGGCGCCAGCGACTTTGCCGAGGACTTCTTCGACGGTTGGTATGGTAAACCTCTCCCTGACAACTGCTTTGTTCAGTCGTCTGAGGTCTACGCATAGGCGAATGTCACCATTCTTTTTCGGCGCTATCACAATAGGCGAGCACCAATCTGTGGGGTCAGTGATACGCTGAATGATGTTCTGTTGCTCCATCCTCTCCAGCTCCTCTTTCAGTTTGGGCATGAGAGGAATGGGGATACGACGAGGAGTCATGACGCAGTAAGGGGTGGTGGCTTCGTCTACCTTGATGCTAACTGCTTGTCCATGCAGACATCCACCCCCTTCAAAAACACTCTCATGGCTGAGTAGAGTGTAGACTCTGTGGACCAATCCAAGCGAGTCACAGGCATGCTTGCCTATGACTGGTTCTCCCTGAGGCAAGATGAGGAACAGCAAGCTTTGAGTTTTGCCCTTGACTTGGCAAATGAGTCTGGTCTGGCCGATTGGTGTGGCTTTTCCCCCGAAGAATCCTGTAAGGCGTGTTGAGGACGGCTGTAGGGTCTTATCGGGGACATTCAGCGCGTTGAAGATGTCAAGCGGGAGGATATTGACCTCAGAGCCCGTGTCAAGTAGGAATGACACAGTCTGTCCATGTACATGGAGATCCTGTCTCCAAACGTCATCGATGGGCAGTTGCTGTCGGCGTATGGCACCGACAAAGAACTCGTTCTCTGCAAAAGTACAGGTTTCATCCTCTTGTTCTGGATCTGTCTGGAGAACTGCTCGCATCTGTTTGGGCCTTGATCGGCAGACTTTTGAAAAGTGGCCGATCTTATTGCAGCTCTTACAGTGTTGTCCCTTGGCAGGACAAGTTCTATGGGTAGAGGCGTAGCCGCAATTCTGGCAAAGGGGACCACTCAGTCTGGGGTACGAGGATCGCTGATCCCTTCTCATGGGAGGCTTGTTGGAGCGTTGCTTCTGGCGCTGCTGCACCTGATGGACTGCCTGGACTGTAGTAGTATTACTATCTCCCCGGGCCTTAATGTCCTGCTGATCCTTTGTGGCTGTTTCAAGCGTTTTGGCAAGTTCGATGGCTTTGGAGAATGTCAGGCCATCTTTGGTGAGCAAGTGTTTCTGGATGAACAAACTGCGTATGCCGCAAACTAGCCGGTCGCGGAGGGCATCATCAAGAAAAGAACCGAATTTACACGGTCCAGCCAAGGTTTGCAATTCCACAGAATACTGTGCTACAGTCTCACTAGCATTTTGATTGCGCTGATAAAACCGGAATCGTTCAGCAATCACCAGTCGTTTGGGTCCGTAGTGCGATTTGAGCAGAGTACACAGTTCAGCGTAAGTCTTTTCAGTGACTGCCACAGGTTCAGAAAGGCTCTTCACAGTTTTGTACACATTTGCTCCGATACAACTCAGCAGAACAGCAGACTGCTTGGCTGGAGAAATGTCATTGGCCTTGAAATACAGGTCCAATCGTTCGAGGTAGTTGGTGATTTCCTCTACTTGGTCATATGGATCGAGCCGTCCGATCAAAGCTGAACTATAGGGCGCCCCCTGTGACTGCGACATGATCGATGTACGTTAGACACACGTACGTACGTGGCGAATCGGACGAAAAATAACGGTTTGTTTTGCCACAAAATGTCCAACTACCTGACGTGATACAGTCTCAAAATGTCACTGATTATGTCCGCAAACATTTACTGGGACCACCGCTGTCACTATGTTGTGTTTATGGGTCCTTTCAAACCAGTAAATAATGGAACGAACTCACCGAGTCTTCACAGGAACTCGTGGCATGGGCGCCGCCATTTTAATACACACTGTAACTCATGGAACGTGTAGTTGGTGTCCCTCACAGAACGTATCATAATGCATGGACATACGACAATAGCAACTCCAAATGAGTAGCTTAATCTTTGTTTTTCTTAGTTTTGTGTTTTGCCATTAGGTTACATTATAATTGCATTATATGTACATCCCTTAGCATATTGGTTGGCATAATATTGATTACACTGTTATTGCAGGTGATTATGGCAATAAAATACAGACAGGTAGTTGGTGAACAATGTATCCTATGCCAGTAGTGCATGTTGATTGTTACTACACATTTTGTTTCGTGGGGGGGGGGGGGTATGTTACGGTACTCTGGCTTAACCCTAAATGGGCGTTGGCGGAATCCGCTCTCCCCCTTTTGACTTTTTCCGCCTTGAAAAAAATTGTTTTCCGCGACCCAAGCAGTTATTACTTTTTAGCCTGGAGCCTTGCACATCGTTTGATACCAAATTATATAAATTATACCCGTCGCTACGCGCCATGAAAAATGAATTTCCCCATATACGAAGTGTACACAGAGCAGAATTAACATTCGTGCATATGAATAATTAATGAGCCATAATCCAAAATCATTTCACCTATAGTCATGAAACTTCTTGGCTATGTTCATGATAAGTTGTTCTATGCATGTAATAAGTTTCATATTTTTTCGTTACTCGATTGCCGAGATCTTGGGGGGGGGGGGAGGGCGGAAATCCCCCGGTTCTTTTAGTGTTAAAACTATCCATTATTTTAGTGCTTTCTGCTGAACTATGTTAATAAACAGATACACGTTTGTGTCAATCAAGTCGAGGCCCTTTGTACACATGACGCTAGTATGAATATTATATGTATGATATACAGGCAGTTTATGTTACTCAGACAGGTGCTATACTGGCCATTTTTTTAAAATGTTACTATTTAAATAGTTAAAACAGACCTAAATCAACACTTTTAAACCAGTAATTAAGTTTGGCTTGGTTTACAGGGGACACAAACAAAAGATTAATGTTTAAAATAATGTTTAGCCATCTAAACATCTTGTGTAATATATAAGCACATTATATATATCTACGAACAGCGCCCTCTAGAGGCAATATATATTTTTACGTGACGTCATTTTGAAAACCTATAGCAAACCAATAATTTGACCAAATTCATCATTATACAACAGAGCATAATGGTGTTATTGCGAATTGTACAACCATATCCTAACCAAAGTGCTAAGGACTTATGTAGTAAGCTCATTCTGACTAGGCTTTAAAAAGTGGGCATTTACTACCACTAAGCTACCACCCTGGGATTGCTATCACATCAATTTATCATCCTTAGACATTAATGATGTGCATCGGGTAGGGTTGGATTATGGCTCATTAATTATTCATATGCACGAATGTTAATTCTGCTCTGTGTACACTTCGTATATGGGCAAATTCATTTTTCATGGCGCGTAGCGACGGTATAATTTTTATAATTTGGTATCGAACGATGTGCAAGGCTCCAGGCTAAAAAGTAATAACTGCTTGGGTCGCGGAAAACACTTTTTTTTCAAGGCGGAAAAAGTCAAAAGGGGGAGGCGGATTCCGCCCCCGCCCATTTAGGGTTAAGCCAGAGTACCGTAACATACCCCCTCCCCCCCCCCCCCGAAACAAAATGTGTAGTAACAATCAACATGCACTACTGGCACAGGATACGTTGTTCACCAACTACCTGTCTGTATTTTATTGCCATAATCACCTGCAATAACAGTGTAATCAATATTATGCCAACCAATATGCTAAGGGATGTACATATAATGCAATTATAATGTAACTTAATGGCAAAACACAAAACTAAGAAAAACAAAGATTAAGCTACTCATTTGGAGTTGCTTTCACATGTTTTTGTACTTAGGTCGATCCTACAAAGCATTTGCACCCTTAATGTTTTGCCACCTCGGGTGGTACCAATATCTGGTCTGGCCCATGGACTACATGGGCAGTATATGTGCACCATGATGCTTCCGTCAAAATATTAGTTTAAATGTCAGAATATTCTTACTCATAAATGATTGGGTTTTGTTAAGCAAGGTAAAGTAAAATGATAACAAACTAATGAAATGTCTGTTTTGTTTTCTTTAATTCCACAGACTTACAACTGTATGCCCATTTTGACCGTCGTTTTTTGTGTGTGTATATATTGTAGCGTGGACCAGGGGTTCTTGTCCCTCAAGACCGGTAACAACGGAAAAGGGGAGCGTACACAGGACTTCCAACAAGATAACCTTCCGCGCAACTGTCAGAACAACAACTACCACGTTACACTAGTGCTCTTCCAAAACACACTACAGATAGCAATGTATAACAATGTATAACAATCCACAGGCCGCCCGGGCACTTTGCCAAATCCCCTCCCGCGCGCGCCAGACCACACGCGTCACGAAATAGAACCCAATTTCCGGTGCGCGCCCAGCACAAAAGAAACAGGTCAGGGCACTCCGCCGGAGGTCCAACAATCACACACACACAACAAAAAATTGTCCACTCAGTTTCGAAAGGCCTACCTGGGTGTCCACGAGAATGTTGGTTAGTGTTGATTTAGGCCCCAAATTGGTTCCCAAATCAACAAGAACACAACAGTCAACGAGGTCTACCCACCGTAAAGTCAATCGGCTATCAGGCTTATTCGCCGGTCAGATTGTCCCTGTTCCAGGTGCGCCACCAGATATCGCCGGGCTATCTAAGGCCGACCGATTCAGTCCCCTGGTAAGTGCACAGGCCCGATGGGTCCTCCAGCGTCTCACGTGTGACCGTGGTGAACTCCTCCCTCATGAGAACGGCCTCCGTTTGGGTCGCTGTGTCTACCCTGGGGCTCCGGCGGAACTCCTCCAGCGGCTCGCATTCAGTCAGGCCAGCTGTATGAATTCTCCTTGCGGAAAACCATCTGCCTCCGAAGTACAGCGTCCCCTCCTCTGCGCTGACCACCCGTCTGACTGGGACACCATCCGCCGCTCCTACAGCCTCTCCACCTGCGGCGGCGCTACCGTGCTGGGACCTGACGTGCCGGGCTAGGTAGTCAGCACGCTTGTACACCTGCGGACACCTGCGTGAGCTGCCTTTTCATGCCTTCGTCTGTTATAGGATGAAGCGTACGCTTATCCGCACACTCTGCACAGAAACGAACTCCTCTCCATCGCGATCTCGGATTGTTTCTTGAATTGTGGACCGGGCTGGTTGTTTGCACTTCCCACCTCTGCTCCAGTGTGGGGGGAAGGATAGACTTGTTGCAAGTACCTGCGGGGTTTCGGGACTGCTCTACCACGGCGAGTGCGGGGCGTACTGGTGCCTTGTTGTGGTTGATTGTCACCCGCGCCGGCGGCGGCGGCCGGGCAGCCCGTGCCGGCGGCGGTGGGCTGCCTGCGCCGGCGGCGGGGATGCTGTGGGATGGGCTTGCAGACAGTTTCCAGGCCTCGGAGAACCCACAGTCCTCTGCACTTACTCTTTGGCAAGTTTTTAGCCTTTCCGCGTGGACTACTTGAGGGTTAGAACGAGGGGTCTTTTGGATCCTGTACACAACATCAAACAACCTGTCCACTACGACATATGGCCCAGTCCAGCTTAGACTCAAGTTTGGGCAGACTCCCTTCTTCCGCACCTTGTAGTGGAGCCACACGACATCTCCTCTGCTGTACAACTCCTGACTAACATTCCTGTCGTAGTGCCTCTTCTGAGACCTCATCTGTGCCCCGGTCGCCTTCCGTGCTGCCTCGTGTGCAAGCCGTAGTTTGTCCTGTAGGGTCTGCGCATACTCTGTTGCATTAGACTGAGTCTGCGGGGTGGAGCCAACAAGCAAATCAACTGGCATCCTGACCTCATGCCCCAGCATCATAGTGTTTGGTGTCTCTTTGGTGGTTTCATGCTCCGCTGACCGATACGCCATGGTCAGAAGGGCTAGATGTTCATTCCAGTCAGTCTTCGACTTGTTCACCCATAGACTCAACATGGCCTCCATGGTGCGGTTGAACCTCTCGATCATCCCGTCAGACCTCGGATTGTATGGCGTCGTGCGGGTCTTCCTTATGCCAAGGACAGAACACATCTGTGCAAAGACTTCAGATTTGAACTCTCGACCCTGGTCGGAGTGAACTTTAAGGGGAACACCAAATCTAGAGACCAATTCATCTACAACCTTGGTTGCCACCGTCTTAGCAGTGTGGTCTGGAACTGGATAGTATTCTGTCCACCTAGTGAAATAGTGCCCGACAACAACGATGTACTTGTTGCCTCGCTGTGTGACGGGAAGTGGCCCAACAACATTAACCGCTATTCGCTCCATCGGCGCTCCGACCTGGTAGCACTCCATTCGCGCTGTCTTCGCCCTTGCAGGTGGCTTCCGCCTCTGGCACTGTTGGCATTGTACGACCCATCTACGGACTGACTGCCTCATAGAAGGCCAGTAGAAATCACCCCGGCATAACCTAGCAAAGGTCTTTCCAATATCTAAATGTCCGGCAGTCTTTTGGTTGTGGAAGCGCTGCAGAATGGTTGGTTGCAGTTCTCGTGGCAGTACGACTCGAAGACGAGGTGCCTCTGTCGGTCTGTTTTGTTCCCACTTGATGCAAAGGGCCCCACCTCTGTCATCACCAGCTGCTCGAAGCGAGCCCACCAGAACTTGACATCCCTGTTCAAGGAAGCTATAGTATCCCATGGTGGCCGTTGACCTCGCATCACCCACTGCCTTACCACTCTGAGGTCTCCGTCATTTTGTTGCGTTCG